AAAAAAAAAAAAAAAAGATAAGAAATACAAATGGCAATTTACTCAAAAACTTGTCATACATATCCTTAATATGAACGTACTCCTCTAGAGCGCATTAAAGATATACCACTACAAAGTACTAAAAATTTTTCTATAATTTTTAAGTGTTATTTATTGCAAGACTAAATTCTAAGTAAGAAGCTTTAAAAGTATTTCTGACATTGTTACATTAGAAGGCTATTTTTAAAAAGCAACTTTTAAAAAACAAAAATAAATTGAAACAGCAAAACTTGCTTGTAATGAAATGTAGCTGTAAAAACGTTTCTTTTAAAACAAAGAAACAGCAAAATAGGTATTGAGTAATTTCCTGGGCCTTTAAACTGATTAACAACTAAAGGCATACTGACAGCCACTTGGAAACTTTAGCTCATGTATATTTTTACCTAGATATTGCTAGATAAAAATTACATTAATCTTAGAAGCTTAAGGTTAGTCAGTTTCCTTTGTTCTTCATATTCTTGTTTATAGTAATACAGTCTATCGGTACAGTTCAGGATAGTGAACCTACAGTATTTAAACATTTTTTCTTTCGGAAATGAAAATACAAAATCCTCTATTTCTTAAAATTTTAAATGCTTATTTAACAAATGAACAAAAGTTAAAATATTATGCTGTTTTATTTGTGTAAAACCACACTTCTGATTCTGGTAAGATATATCCATGTAGTTTAACATCTGTGATTCTATAGACAGAATAAATTTTAAAGGAAATATCTGCTGTTAGCAATGGGTCAAAATGTATATATAATATTAAACAAAATCTAAAACAGTGTATTGTCCTGAATAAGGCATACTCCAGAAACTCATTAATAGGAAAAACTTGTCTATATAGCAAAAGAATGACAAGATGGCTGAAGGTAAACTAGAAATCTTACGGAATTCCCCTTTATTTTGTGAATAATCGAAATCCTCAGAAGTTTTAAAACAATACTTAAAAATAATTAAGAAAGGTCACCATTCATACCTATTTCATAAGTTTACATGACTAATGAATTATTCAATCTCACATAAAATAGTTCTAAGTCACTGATGAGGTTGATCACATTTCCACAAGGAAAATATAAAATCTAACATGTTTATATTTGTCACAAGTTGACATGTAAAAGAGGCCTGAACGTACCACATGATTTGTGAATGTATATTACTGCAGAGAGTAAATTAGCTTATGGTGAAAACTGCCTTATCCAATATAATTCTTTAAAATAAAAAATTAAATGGGAAACTTTTAAAAGATTTTTTATGGAATACAGATGCTTTATGTAAAATATTAAACATAAAAGAGGGCAAATTGACAATTTATTTCTGAGTATGTGGCTGAGATGTAAATGAGCCCATTCTATAAATCAAATCGTGTGTGGTTTTAGCCATAGAAGTATTATGTATCCTGGATGCTATGGAACAGAAAAGGTGGATGTCCCAACAAACACAATATACCCTCCAGAAAACGTCATCCTGACCTTTTTATTGTTGAAATTAAAAAATAAAAGATACTTAAATACAATGGTGAACATATAGGGCAAAACAGAATCATAAAATTTAATGTTGAATTAAGCAATGAGCTGAATGTTTGGGTCTCCAAACTGGCTTTGAACCCAAAATCACTTAAAAATGACTATGTTCACAGTTAACGGCAATTGGCTTATAGGTGAGAGAATGGTCGAAGTTGTTCCAGTTGAACTTCCAGGGAAATTCTCTCCTCAAGAACATCCTGAAAAAGAGGCAAAGGCCAAGTTATGTTTCAAAGTATATAAAAATGAAGGAACATCTAACAACATCTCTGCTTCAAGAAAGCAATTTAAATTTGTCAAGAAGACTAAGGGAGAGCTTATTCGTATTTTAAAAGTTTATTTCACTTTAGAAAGGTAGATTCTTTATATGTTTTTAATATTAAAGTAAGATCCTGGTAATTTCAAACATTTTATTACATAAAGCAGGGTAACAGAATGTCTAGTTATTAGAAAAGTCAATGTTTGCAACAAATGGGTATTAACAACTGAATTTTGCAATAAGCCTGCCCCTGAATTAACTGTAGATGAATTTGTTGATATAGCTTCTTTTCCCTAGTGATGACATCTGGCTACATCGACTCCTAGGTCTCATTTTGAGCTTTAGTATCACAAAGAGTAACTTGGCATTCAGAATTTTAAATCAATGCTGACTTTGGATGGTCTTTCTAGTTAGCCACCAAATTCTAACTTACTTTCCTTTTTTTTTGTTTTCTCTATTATAGTGGCAGTATCTTATTTTAACCAGAACTACCTCTTTCTATTTTTTACCTTACTTCCTATTTTCTGTTCTCAGAAGTAATAAAAAGGGAATTTTTCAAAATAGTTTCTATATACTTATTTTAATGGTTTTCCCTGGTTCAGAAAAACATACATTACCCCAGGTTAACGTGACCCCAGGTTACCTGTATATGCATTAAGGTTTGAGTACCACTTTTTTTTTTTTTTGGTAAGACATGAGTACCTAATAATGTTGGGGAACCATAAGTGATTCTGGGAGTAATTTTTTTTTTTTTTGACCCAATAAGGAAGGAGTAAGTAGGAGTGATTTTATTTCTAGGGATGCAAAGAAATCACAGTTAATAGAAAATACACACATTCCTCTCAGGTATTAGATGATAAGCTTGCCTTTTCTCTTTCCATATGCAAGATGATTGAAATTGCTGCCATCTCTCTTCTTTAGATCTGTTTAAATCTCTTTAATGGAATCTGAGTTGTCTTTGATAAAAGGACAAACTACAACCTGGATGCAATGGCTCACGCCTGTAATCCCAACCACTCAGGAGGCTGAGGTGGGAGGACAGTTTGAGCTTGAGCCCAGGCTGCAAGGTGACAGAGCAAGATCTCTTTTTAAAAAAATAAAAAAAATAAAATAAAATAAAAGAAGCGGGTAGGGCAGGTAAACTAACCACAGTCAAAGCATCTAGAAAATTAGAGCGGAGGACCATGTATATGATCTTGGAGATTATCTGAGGTCACATTTCTTCTCTTTAGGTTTCTTTACTAAGACAAGGAACATTACAAAGATTCAGAAACTATATTACCTTTAACTGTTGCTGCAATTCGCTATTCAATCTGGCCAAAACTGTGTTGGTTTCCTTATTGCGTCTAATTGATGCCTGAATAGCTTTTTTATCTTTCCCAACAGATCTGAGAAGACAAAGAAGGCAAAAAAAAACACATAACCTTCGTTTCTTATCTTATTAGAAACAGAGAGGAATCCTCTCTATTCCTCCCTGATCTATTTTTAAACATGAAAAGTTAAAAGAACCATCTTTTTCCTTACTAGTATAGCTCAACCTCACTTGCTCAGTTGCAGCGATAAACCAAAAAATAAATTATTAAATAAATTATTCTTCTATAGAATCACCTGAATTTAAGAAGAAGAGTCTAAAGCAGGTATTGGCAAACCTTTTCTGTAAAAGACCAGATAGTAAATATTTCAGGCTCTGTGGGCCACAGAGTTTCTGTCTCGTATTCTAGTTTTTTATTTTTTCTCTTCTATTCTTTCTTTTCTCTTCTACAAAAAAGAACAAGTCATTCTTAGCTCATGGGTTATACAAAAATAGGCCATAGGCCAAATTTGGCCCATAAGACTTAACTTGCTGATTCCTGATCTAGAACACCAGAACACCAGTTTTACTATAAACTTTCAAGTTTAAAAAATGTACTACTACAGGGTTTGAAACAGGGTGTTAAAATGGAACTGGAATTCAATTTAATCAAGGGGAAAAAATGGGAAGAATGCCTACCCATACATGACAAGGTTCAGCTTAACTAAAGGGAGAACTAGTCTGACCATAATTTCTTTCAGTCTGATTATTGTTATTATTATTATTATTTTCTAGACGGAGTCTTGTTCTGTTGCCCAGGCTATAGTGCAGTGACACGATATAGGCTCATTGCAACCTCTACATCCTGGGTTCAAGCAATTCTCCTGCCTCAGCCTCCCAAGTAGCTGGGACTACAGGTGTGCACCACCACACCTGGCTAATTTTCTTGTATTTTTAGTAGAGATGGGGTTTCACTATCTTAGTCAGGCTGGTCTCCAAATCCTGACCACAAATGATCTGCCCAGCTCGGCCTCCCAAAGTGCTCGTGAGCCACCATGCGTGGCCCATTAGATTATTTTTAATTGCTGTGCTTTTTCTTCCCAGTAATTAAATGTGTCTAGGAATAGCTTTGATTACCTGGGAATAGAAGGTTGTGATGCAAGAACAGCAGCTAAGACACCCGTCTTTTGTGTATGTTCATCAACTTCTGGCCTTAATTCATCTTCTGATTTTAATCTTCTTCGAACAGGTTTAGGTGGTGGAGCAAGAGGTGTTGTGCCTTTGCTCTTTAAGACAAGAATTCCATTAATAATGAGCACTTCTGAAGACATTCATAGTTAGCACTTTGCAACACCATTTGCTTTCTTTAAGCCATTTGCTCTTGGAAAATCAAAGTTACTTGTCGAAAGTTACTTTAAAGCCATGTATTTGTGGCAAGAACCAACTTAAATTACAGTGGGAAAGGATGTGTCTAGTTGACACCACAATCATGAATGTACCTGCAATATAAATTTTTTTAGAGTAACATAATGATGCAAGACTGTAACATTCAGTTTTAACATAAATACGATACAGAATCCTGTTGAACAATAAACAAAGGCAGTCTCTAGAAATATCTATCCGTTATCACCACGGAGTTAGGATTTCTTACTCAAAAATACTAACATACATCTTAATGAATATATTGACATTATAAAGTAATGGAAAGCAATTCTTTTAGAAAAAAAAAAAGCATCACTATTAATATGCACAGTAATTATAACTTTTGAAAATGAATTGACATTTTGTTGGAGATTATGAATCTGCCCCAACAGAATAAAAAAATGGTGTTTTGGCATTTACTTGGTTTTTACTTAAATAAAAACCATATCTTCAGTTAAGTGCTATTTTTAATTTGTTGCTGTGAGTTGATAAAAAATAAAGTTCTTTACTTAAAAACTTACAGGACTACTAACGTAATACAACATAGTGATACAGTTTGGCTCTGTGTCCCCAAATCTCACCTCAAATTGTAATCTCCATGTGTCATGGGAAGGACCTGGAAGGAGGTGACTGGGTCATGGGTGGTTTCCCCCATGCTGTTCTTATGAGAGTGAGGGAGTTCTCAAGAGAGCTAATGGTTTTACAGTGAGGCACTTTCTTGCTCTTTCTCTATCCTGCCACCTGCTTCCCCTTTACCTTCCGCCATGATTGTCAATTTCCTGAGGCCTCCCCAGCCATGCAGAACTGTGAGTCAGTTAAATCTCTTTTGTTTATAAATTATCCAGTCTCAGGTGGTATCCTTATTGCAGTGTGAAAATGGACGAATACACAGAGAGTGTTCAGAAAGCAGAATTTAAGCACTTTAGAAACATACGCTGTTTTTATACCTACTGGAGTGTCTACATAACAGGAAAAAAAAGTTACCAAAATTATTCCCTCAAGGGGAAAATGTGCTGATAGTTGCAATCTGAAGTACAACGATATAATTTAGGTATCTGTCCCCTCCAAACCTCATTTTGAAATGTGACCTCCAATGCTGGAGGTGGGCCTAGTGGGAGGTCTTTGGGTCATGGAGGAAGATTCCTTGTGAATGGCTTGGTGCCCTTCTCACGGTAATGAATGAGTTCTTACTCTGAGTTCACACAAGAGCTGGCTGTTTAAGAGCCTGGCACCTCTCCTTGCTCCCTCTATTGCCATGTGACACACTTGCTCCCACTTTGCCTTCTGCCATGATTCTAAGTTTCCTGAGTCTTCACAAGAAGCAGATGTTGCCACCATGCTTCCTGTATAGTCTGCGGAACCATGAGGCAAAATAAACCTGTTTGCTTTTTTTTGAGACAGGGTCTCACTGTCACCCAGGCTGAAGTGTAGGACACTATCTAAGCTCACTTCAACCTCCACATCCCAGGCTCAAGCAATCCCCCAACTTCAGCCTACCGAGTAGCTGGGACTATAGGCATGCACCACCATACCTGGGTAATTTTTTTACTTTTTGTACAGACAGGGTTTTGCCGTGTTGCCCAGACTGGTCTTGAACTCCTGAGCTCAAGTGATCCATCTGCCTCAGCCTCCCAAAGTGCTGGGATTACAGGTGTGAGCCACTGTGCCTGGCATAACCTCTTTTCTTTACAAATTACCCAGTCTCACCTATTCCTTTATAGCAATGCAGACGGGCTAACACATACATAAAACAGATAAGGATTGACAGATGAATGGAAGGCATGGAGAGATATATAGTAAAGCCAGTATAATAAAATAATAATGGTATATAAGGTAGTATATTTACTGATATACAATGAAAAATTGATTCAATTTTTCTGTATGCTTAAACGTTTTCATAATAAAATGTTGGGGAAAAATTATCCCTAAAACCATTAAAGAAAAGGTTAAGAGCACAGAGAATAACAATAACCTTAGAGGGTTGATAATTTTCCTCTATTATATTCAAGACTACAATAAAAGAAACTGAATTTCACCTATAAAGAAGTCCTACTTTATATAGTGGGAAGAATGTGATAACCACTTAAATTCTGAGAACGTGTGACAAGTATTTAACGTAAGATTACAGAATATCATCTCCATTAAATAGGCAGACTTTGTTCTGAGATAGACTGACTATCCTATAGGTAAAGGCAGAGAAATGGGTTAGATGATTTCTGGTTGACCTTATTTCTAAAATTATTTCACATAACCTATAATGTACAAAATTATTATTATAAAAGACATTTTGCATACCACATTGGCGGGAGCAGTAGCAGCTGTTTTTTCTTCAGTTTTACTATCTGTTTTGGCAACTCGAAGAGAACTTGCAGGATCAGAAGCTTTTTCAACCTAGAAATGAATATGTTATCACTATTAATTATATATAACATATAATTATGCATAAATGTAGAATATGTAACAAATCAGAGCAAAATGTTAAAAAAAATATTCTGACAAGAAATCTGAGATAATAAGGAACTTGAAGGAACCTTTTTAAATGAGCTTTCTCTGTTGCTGAAAGGCAGAGGGGAGGGCAGGTTAAAGAGGTGTGAGGGAGAGGAGGACATGGTGAGGATGCAGCTACTGCACTGAATCTCTAAGTGGTTAGTCTGGGATGTCCTCATGGTTGGGAGAGGGGAGGCATCCACCCAGCAGAGTGAGTCCGGTACCCTCTGCACACTTCTATATGCCCACCCCAACCCTCCTAGATGCAGCCCAGTCCCCTAATGGGCCTGGCAGAAAGTTGTAGGTTTGAAAAGGGAGCTAGTAGGAAATTTTCCATGGCTATGATCTATATGACAGAGATTTCAGAATTCCTCTGGTTTCTCCAACTCCAGATTTATGCTCAGACAATAGAATCTCCTAGAACACTGTGAATATTAAATTTTGGTATCCTGTAGTCTTTGCTTAACTAAAGAAACTTACTCTCATACAAATTTTAAATGCTTCAATTAGAAGTTTGGCTAAGACAGTTCTAAAGTTGTAATTAGATATAGAAGTTATGTCTAGAGAAACTATCCTTGGGAAAAAGTTGCAATGAGTGGAGCTATGGTAACCATGGCCTCTTATCACATGGAAATCTTCACCAAATCATGCAGTCAGATGCTTAGCATTAAGACGGAAATCCCCAAAGCAGTGTTTTAGCAATGGTCAGGTTGTGGTATCTTTTCATGTGGTAACAATCCCCCACCCACCAGACTCTGATGCTTACTAAGCATTACACTACAACCAGCAGACACTGGAGGCCAATAAAAAAGGTGAGAAGCACTGACGTAAGGAATATTTTACTGATGTCCCCTCTAATATCTGCTAGGTTGACAGTGCATGGTATGGGAAGAAACTGCCTGCAGAAAATTAACCAAGCCCTTGAAAACTTGAAAACTGACCGGCAGGACTTCTGGATGTTTCTCGGCTTCATCATCTTGTTCTTCATTTACATTTGATGCAGCAAATACTTCAAACTGGCTGAAATCTGCAAAATTTGGTTGCTCTGGTATCTGCTGAGGTGAGGTACTAGTGTGAGTCATGAGGCCATCGGCATCCACTGGGCGATGCACAGCGGGACCAGGAGCCTGTGCAATGGTTCAGAACAGAGACACACACATTTTATCAGCCTATCAGTGTCACAGACTACTCCTCTTCTCTTCTCTTTGAAAATTTAGTATATAAAGATGCCCTGTTTTATTAACTGTAAGTTCAGAAAGGTTTATTACAGTAACCTTTAGCTCTAAATAAATGATTGAACCATAAGTGAAAAGCTAAGACACTAAAAAAAAAATTGAAGATAATAAACCTCCAATAAAAAGATATTTTTTCAAAAACTTTGTTGCAAAGAATGTACACTGAAGGAGACGGTGGGTCTGTCCTGACCATCACTCTCCACTTGTAAGTATTTTTTTCTTAATTGGGCTAATGCACAATAGTTTGTTCCTTAATTTTTTTTTTTAATGTTTCACTATGTTTCTTAAAAAGGTTGCTATTATTAAAGTGGGAGAAACACTATTCTAACTATTCTCCGAACATGTCAGAGCACTTCCTTTCAATTCATCTACCACTCCTTTGCCAGACCAAGGCTGCTACATCTTCAGTCTAAAAATTTGTTTACTGAATATCTACTTGTGAACAAAACAAGTAAGGCCCACTCACATCCTAATAAAGCTGACAGTCCATAGCAGAATAAAAGAGTAAGTACCTAAGAAATTAAAATAGAGTGTGAGATGTTTTATGACAAAGGAAGTAAAGGATACTAAAGAAATAAATTTGAAGTCTCTTCCCTTTAAAAATTCTTCATCCCCTCTAGGAAAAACTCTATCCTGGCAGTCGCCCGCCGCATCTGCATGATGGGCTCCAAGACGGCCCAGCTGCTAGAGGCTGCCGACTTCGCGGCTCGCAAGCCCCGGCAGCAGCGGCGGAAGGACCCCGAGGGGACCCCCTACATCAACCACCCCATCGGTGTGGCTCGGATCCTGACCCACGAGGTGGGAATCACTGACATTGTGGTGTTACAGGCAGCTCTGCTCCATGACACGGTGGAGGACACAGACACCACCCTGGATGGGGTGCAGCTACACAGGTGTGGTGCCTAGTGGAGGAGGTAACAGATGACAAGACTCTGCCCAAGCTGGAGAGAAAGCTGCAGGTGGAGCAGGCGCCCCACAGCAGCCCCAGGGCCAAACTGATGAAGCTGGCAGGCAAACTCCACAATCTGAGGGACCTGAATCGCTGCACCCCAGAGGGGTGGTCAGAACATCGAGCCCAGGAATACTTCAACTGGGCAGCGCAGGTGGTGAAGGGGCTTCGGGGAACAAACCAGCAACTGGAAGAGGCTCTAAAACGTCTGTTCCAGGAGTGGGGACTGACACTCTGAGCAGTGCTTGGAACTCTCCAGCAGCACAACTCCAGCCTCATCCAGGCCAGACAGGATTCACAAACCTTTTCTGTGCCTCCCATGCTCCCTCCATCCTTCCCAGATTTCAGAGGCCAAAAAAGGCTTGCATTTTTTCTCAATCTGAAGGTCTCCTGCTAACTAAGCTGAGCCCCCTGAGCGTGGGAATCAGATGTACCCATCCATTTCTGATGCACTCGCTGCCTCTCTCCAAGTCTTGGGTCTGTTTGCTATTTTGCAGGGTGGGATCTCTGGCCCCTCGGGGGCTTAAAATTATATAAGTACTAGTTCCTAAGTCATTACGGACAATAAAAAGAACTCTGGGTAAAGGTGGAAAAAAAGAAAAAAGAGAAACTCTATCCTTCTTACTATGATATGGGAGATGCTCTGCCTCCTCCCTCCCTCTCTAGTTTCATTTCCCATCACTCCACACATCTACTCCTGTTGTGCTGAACTAATTTGTTTTCCTCTGAGGAATGTACCAGGCTTAACACATGCCTCCATGGCTTTGTGGATGTCACACCTTCGGTTTGGAATGCCTTCTCCCCAATAAATTTCACTTTAGCTTTCCAGTCCCCGCTAAATCTCACTTCCTTCATTTTACATATGATGTGATCCCTAACTTTAGCCACTAAGGCTGTCCCAAAGCATTTTATAAATAGGTCTACTACAGCACTGTAATTTTGACCTGGAAGGGATGCAGAGGTCAGTATACTTCCTTAACTCATATAGTAACACATCCAGATAGATGCAGTGAGGTTATTCTGGGGTATCTTGTTCAACCAGAGAGATGCAGTGAGGTTATTTTGGGGTATTTTGTTTTGTTTTGAGATTGGGTCTCAGTCTGTCACCCAGGCTGGAATGCAGTGGTGCAATCACAGCTTACTGCAGCCTCCTAGGCTCAAGAGATCCTCCCATCTCAGCCTCTCAAACAATTGGGACTACAGGTGTACACCACTATGCCCAGCTAATTAAGTATTTTGTTGTTGTTTTTAGAGACAGAGTCTCACTATGTTGCCCAGGCTGGTCTGCAACTTCTGGGCTTGAGAAATCCTACTGCCTCAGCCTCCCAAAATGCTGCAATTACAGGTGTGAGCCACTGCACCCAGCCCAGTGAAGTTATTTTGTGAGCCACTGCTAGACCCAGGACATTAATGGATATCTCCTATCTCCCAATCCATTGTCATTTCCACTAAATCCTTCTCTGTCAAGACATTATCATTTGTTTCACTTTTAAGTTTCCTTCAAAAAATAACTGAGATCATTCTTGAAATGTGTATCTTTCAAAATAATATTTAGCCTCACTGAACTAAATGCTCATTAAGGATTGCCATCAGATCATTCCTGACCTTCCAAATAATTTGAGAATAGAATTAAAGACTTAGCAGACAAACTAATCATGGGACATTTAGTAATAAATACCTTGGAGAATTACCTGTGAGGGCTGTGGTCTTGGAGGCACTGCAGGAGGATGGGCAACAACTCCAGTCTGTTGTTGTCCTGCATGAATACAAAAGTCTTCTTTTTAGTAACTGTATAATCACTTCATTAACAGAAGATAGGCTGAATGAATGTGACTACATGATAAAGATTTCTAAGAATGTCCAGTAAGTATTGGAAGGCAGATACTATCTGGTTACACAGTCTGTATGTAACCTAAAGACCAAATCCCACAGCATTTCATCAGATCTCATTTTGCTTCTTACCTCTATTACATAAAGCTCTCCTGGCATATTCCTGCCTGTTTCAGTGATAGTATACAATCTTGATTTTCTTCCGATATCTCTGACTGCTTTCAGATATCCAATGAAAACTTCCAAATTTTCCCTTTCCACTTCACTCTCCCATTTGTATGTAAATGAATTCCAAATAATACATCAATCTTTCTTAGCCAGTGGTGTTATTTAGCCTTTTCCTCACCACTCCAAACTCACAGTGACTAAAACATAACTTCATCATCCCTGCCCTAACTTTTCTGTTTTAACTAATGTAATAATAATACATTCTCCAAAAATTGAAAACCTGAGGTAAGTTATGACTCCTCTTTTTCATCAGCCAAATGGAGACCTATCAGTTTTCCCCTCTTGATATCACAACGTCGTTCTTTCAAAATTTCCTGTGACATCTCTCAGGTTCCCACCTTCATCATTTGTATTCAAACACAGTTTAAGTACTAATTAAGAAAAAAAATTGCCTCTTGTCTGCTATCTTTTTAATCCAAAATTTATCTTCAGGTAATTTTTTCTTTTTTTTGAGACAGGGTCTCACTCTGTCGCCCAGGCTGGAGTGCAATGATGCAATCTCAGCTCACTGCAACCTCTGCCTCCCAGGTTCAAAGGCTTCTCCCACCTCAGTCTCCTGAGTAGCTGGAACCACAGATGCGCATCACCACATCCGGCTAATTTTTGTTATTTTTAGTAGAGATGGAGTTTCACCATGTTGGCCAGGCTGATCTCGAACTCTTGACCTCAAGTGATCTGCCTGCCTCTCAAAGTGCTGAAACTAAAGGCATGAGCAACCACACCCAGTCAGATAAATATTTTTTAAAAGACATATTAAGAGAAACAAAAGTAAAATGTGTATGTGTCTTGGATTAACTTTAAAATTAAATGATCATGTACATTATGGTTCGCTAGCCCCTACCTGTGGTGACTGCAAAGGTCCGATTCATATCTAAAGATGATGATCTAGAATGAGAGGGCTGTGGCCTTGGAGGGGGAGGTGGTGGTGCGGCGGTATCAGGCGACGTTCCTGAATGAGACCTGCAAAATTCACCCCATCATAATTGGTCATACTACTGATATTGGAGCTTTTTTCTTTTTAAGCATTCAAACTTGGCTAAGCAGCAAAGGATCTTATTAGCATGACATTTTCTCAAGTAGGTATGTAAGTGTTACAATAAGTTAAGATAGCACTGTTTACGATGCACCCTAAACAACTGATTATTTTATATGGCAAATAATTTTTTAAATAAAGTTATATGCAAAATTTCAAAAAAAATCTTTTTTTTTTTTTTTTTTTTTTTGAGACAGTCTCAACCCTGTTGACCAGGCTGGAGTACAGTGGCATGATCTCAGCTCACTGCAACCCCCGCCTCCTGGGTTCAAGCAGTTCTCCTGCTTCAGCCGCCAGAGTAGCTGGGATTACAGGTGTCTGCCACCACGTCCGGCTTATTTCTGTATTTTTAGTAGAGACACAGTTTCGCCATCTTGGCCAGCTAGCTTCGAACTCCTTACCTCAGGTGACCTGACCACCTTAGCCTCCCAAAGTGCTAGGATTACAGGTGTGAGCCACTGTGCCCAGCCTCAAAATTTTGAAAAGAAGCTTAGTTGTCAACATGATACCATAATAGACTACATATTTAGTGTAATGCTTTCTCATTCAATTAAAGGTAATAATAGTCTGAAAAACTAATTATAAAAAGAGAAAATCTACTTTCAGGAACAGTTAGCTTTCAATCTATTAAGGTCTGGAGTTTAGTAAGTTGAAATACCCTTTCACGTGTCCGCACAGGCCATCTCATTTTAGAGGTGACTATACTCAAACTCAACTCATCCTAGAGATTCACTTCTTTGCTACCAAAGTCTTTCATATTCTGAAAAGAGTCTCAAGGACTCTGATCTTCGCATAAGGGAATAAACAGCAGAGTAAAATCCAAGATTACTGAGAATGCTGAGAAACACAGGAAGAACTACAAGAGGACTCAGAAAGGAAGACAAGCGGCCTTCTGACTCTAAGCTCTTTGGAGAATCTGCATCCTCGCCACATCCTTCAGGCGTATAGCAAAATGATACTTACCATGTGCAAAATGTGAGGAGAGAAAGATGCTTCTGTCTTGCACACAGCTTTTAAAGGATGGTAAAGCTCTGGGAGACAAATCTCTTGCCATCCTCCACTCTATCCCACCCCTTTCTAGTTTGTGTCTGAAAGGTTATTACGTAACACAGAACTTCAAGGTGGGGACATGGCCCACGACTGGGCTGTGCTTTTGGACGGTGTTTTAAAATACAGAATTCTTTTGGTATTTGCCATAAGGTTATACATGTATTACTTAATAGACTCTCACTGTTTAGGTACAAAAAGGACTATATAAAACTTCTATCACCAAGAAGTTATCACCTCTTTTTAGACCTTCTACAAAATAACTACTTAGAAAATCAGGGTTCTTTTTGTTTTTCTATTCAAGTTGGAAAGGATCAAAATTACTCTCTTTTACATAAATTGAAAAGTAACCTAACAGCTTTCAGAGAACAAAATCATTTGTGCTTGGTTCTAAATAGTTTTAAACATTAAAATGCAGCAAGATATTTTAACATGCTTTTCATTGACAGAAATACTGACCTTTGACGAGTTACATTGCTCCCGATCTGTTCTGGGTCAGAAGTAAAAGAGTCTGAACTACTGTAACCATCTGCTGATAAATGGGATATGTCCTATTTAATAATAATCATTTCTTTACTTTTTGCTCTATCTACTCCAAACAAATATAACTGATATGCTGTTTCAAGCCAGAGATAGTCAAAGATTGGCTAGTAGGCTAACAGTTCATCCCAGTTGTTATTAACTGTAAAAACTACAAATCAAATAAATCATGGCATATTTACAAAGTAGACAAAGCAAGTTATAGTCTAGAAAAAATAATACTTAATGACGCAGAAATATTCCAAATAAGTCACAAAATGGTACATATACAATCTGGCCCTCCAAATCTGTAGATTCCACAGCTGAGGATTCAACCAACCGCAGTCAGAAGGTATCAGAAAATAAAGTAACAATACAACAATAAAAATAACACAAAATAAAAAAACCACACAGTATGACAATTTTTTTTTTTTTCAAATATAGTGTGTGTGTGTGTTTTTGTTTGCTTTTTGGTAGAAATGAGATCTTGCTATGCTCTAACTTCTGAATTTAAGCAATCCTCCTGCCTTGACTTCCCAAAGTGCTAGGATTACCGGGGGTGAGCCACCAAACCTGGCCCAATAAAACAACTATTTACATTGTATTAGGTATTATAAGCAGTCCAGAGATTATTTAAATTTGCATGTGCATAGGCTACATGCAAATACTACACCATTCTACATATCAGAGAGTTGAGCATTCACAGATTTTGGTATCCATGGGGGTCCTGGAACCAATTCACTACACACATTGAGGGATGACCATATTACAAGTTCACATTACATACAAACATAATTTCTGTATGTGCAGAATGAAAACTAACCTTAACAATGAATCTGTTAACCATAGACTTTAATGGGAATAGCAAGAATATGACTATTTAATTTTTATCAATTACACACTTATAGAATAAATAAGTTACTTTTGCAACGGACAAAAAGGTCACTTTTAAAGAACTAATTAGAAATATTTTAAATAAAGAAAAGTAATTTTAAAATTGCTCATGTGAAAATTAAAAATTTGACACAGGAATAAAATGTGCTTATACAATAATAAAATTTATGAAATTAGCCAAGGAAACCAGATTTTTCTGCAGAGGAAACATTCATTTTCAGTTTCCTCAAAGTCTTATGAAGCAGATGAGAATCCCAGAAATAGACTAAGAGTTGTGACAGAAAAAAGAAATTTTAAAATAGAAACTCTAGGGACAATCTGAAGGAATATTACTACGTAAGTTCAAGAGTAATAAGCTGAAGGGATTATTTTAGTTTTATTTCAAAATGTATCTCTTTCCTTTTTCAAATCACAGAATCATCTAGTTGATGTAAGAATGACATTAAAATGAACATATTCCCATCTGGACATTTTAAATAGGCACCTCAAGTTTAATGTATCTAAAACTGAACTTGATTTTTTTCCCTACAAACCTGCTGCTAGCAGTTTTCCTCATTTCCCTGTTGCCCAGGCCAAAAACCCTGGAATCACCCTTGACTCCTCTCTCTCTTACATCCTGTATTACACAGGTAAAAGCAACTCCTGAGGTCTTTTCCTACACAAGGTACCCAATACAGCCAGAGTCCAGCCACTTCTCAGTACTTCCACTGCTTGCACCCTAGACACCAAGCTGTCACCATCCTCACTTGCCTGATTACCCCATCCCCTAAATTGCATGCTGTTTTCTCTCGCCTTCTTCTGGCCTATTACCATTAGGACAGCCAGAGGGACCCAATTAAAAAGGAGGCTCAGATCATGTCACTACTCCATTCGAACCTTTGATTGGCTTTTCCTCTCACTAAGTCAAAGAAAGTCTGACACTGCCCCCTGTTACTATTCTACCACTGCTACCTTTCCCTGCCAAACTTGCCAACCAATTCTATTCCAAGTATTTGTTTGCTATTCTGTAGAAGCAGTCCCTACTCTACATTTGGTGCTTGCTGTGCCTTGATTTTCCTTCTGAATTCACACAGCTGAATTCACCTCCTTCAAGTCCACTCAAATGACATTTTTTGGTAAGGCCTTCCTTGGCCATCCTATTTAAAATGGCACCCCTCCTACACTTCCCTGGATTTATTTTTATCCACAATGTTAACTACTTTCTAATATGAGTTATATTTTATCCCCCTTTTATCTCCCATACAGAATGTAAACTCTATAGCAGCAAAGACTTTTTTATTGTTAAATCCCCAACACCTAGAACAGATCCTGGCATATTGTATCCAATTAGCACTGGCTGAATGTATACAGAATTTCTTGTGAGAGAGAAAAGCAAGGAACTCACTGGGGAAGAGCCGTAAGACCAAACCTGGCTACACTGAAAGGGATGGCAAACACGAGGCCTGCCTTGAAGCAGGTGTCAATGTGCGACCATTTATTCATTGACAGGACAGTGTTCAAAAGGGGTCACTCTCCTCTACTTTAGTGAAGACAGTATTAAATGGGTACACATCTGAAATAGCCTCTAAATCCAGATTTGGTAAACTGCAAATGGAAGATGTAATACTTCACTTACCTACAGTATTACCAGAAGCAAATTTCACTGATGAATTTATCTTATTTTCTTCTGAAAGGTCAGATGGTTTCACAAGTAATGGGCTAGTGGGATTTGTATGATCTAATAGGGAATTAACAGGTAAAAATACAAGATATAGGTATTTGAATTGATAAATTCATAAAGCTCAGACTATAAGATTTCATTTAAATACACAAAGAAGTAGCAGGTAAATCCATAAAATGTAAGACAAAATAATATTTTTAATAAAAACAAATGTAAAACTGTTTATTTAGAATTTTGTTTTCTGCCATAATAGAAGCTAGTTTATAATGAAACTTTATTTGCATGTTCACACTTAATTTTATTCCTGTAGCACGCTTACCTAAACACTACATATATAAGCGTAAAATAAATTAATTTATAATGCTGACTTATACAGAAAATAAATCTATGTTTGAGAAACCCTAAAACATTTCATCTACAATGATACATTCCAAGAGTTCAAGCAAAATATATAATTTCAAAGCCAAAACGTATTTTAACATGTATCTCTTCAGTTAAAGTTTTAACATATTTTCAATGTAAATTTACAAGGGTGACCATAAAAACCCACAGGGTATTAGAAATGTCACATTTTCAAATGCCCTTATTTTAAAACTTTATAATTTAAAATTAACAAATTCCCTTTAAAAAAAACTGCAACATAAATAAATATGCGTGAAAATATACTTAATTGTAGAAAGTACTAGCCTAAAAAATAAGCAATGATGAAATGAATTTGTACCTTAACAGAATAATTACTTACGTATTTTAGTTTGATGCAAAACTAAAATACAAACCAGCAACAGCTTCCTTACTTACCACTGCCAGTTCTTTTAAGTTCCATTTCCTGCATGTGGATTTTGCTTGGAGTCATACGAATGGGAACTGGATGAACAATAGCAGTATCCTAGAGACAAATGTGAGGAAATACAGAATTTGTATTAAAGTGTTAAGCTAATGCCATGCAGTAATCAAAACTAACAAAACTGTTAAAGCCAGTGGATAGGCTTTCCCATTTACACTAAGGCAGGCATGAAAATAAGCTTTTTAAGTTAAAAGCTCTAAAACTGTATTTAAAAATCAAGCTCACTATACATGCCTAACAATCTGTTTAATTTTAAAAAAACACATTTTAAATGGAATGATTAAAGATTTATGTGAAGGCTGGGCACAGAGTCTCACACTTGTAATGCCAGTACTTTGGGGGGCCAAGGCAGAAGAATCACTTCAGCCCAGATAATCCCTAAGCAACACAATGAAATCCTGTCTATTCAAAAAATATAAAAATTATCTGGACAGGGCCCATGACTTACAGTCCCAGCTACTCAGGATGCTAAAATAGGAGAATCCTTTTTCTTTTTTTTTTGGAACAGAGTCCGCTCTGTCGCCCAGGCTGAAGTGCAATGGCATGATCTCAGCTCACTGCAACCTGTGCCTCCTGGGTTCAAGCGATTCTCCTGCCTCATCCTCCTGAATAACTGGAATTATAGTAGCCCACCACCAAGCCCAACTAATTTTCGTATTTTTAGTAGGGACAGGGCTTCTGGTCAGGCTGATCTGGAATCCCTGACTTCATGATCTGCCCGCCGCCTCGGCTTCCCAAAGTGCTGTGATTATAGGAATGAGCCACTGTGCCCTGCCAGGTAGGGGATCGTTGAGCCCGGGAAGTAGAACCTGCAGTGAGCTGTGATCATGCCACCTCACTCCAGCCTAGGTGACAAAGCTAGACTCCATCTCAAAAAGTGTCTGTGTGTGTGTGTGAGATAGAAAGATTTACATTTTAAAAACGCTCTTATAAAAACACAGTTCAAGACAATATTCATAAGTGAGGAATGGGCCGGACGCAATGGCCCATGCCTGTAATCCTGGCACTTCGGGAGGCTGAGGTGAGCAGATCACAAGGTCAGGAGTTCGAGACCAGCCTGGCCAACATGGTGAAACCCTGTCTCTACTAAAAATACAAAATTCAGCCGGGTGTGGTGGCAGGTACCTGTATTCCTAGCTACTCAGGAGGCTGGGGTAGAAAAATTGCTTGAACCCAGGAGGTGGAGGTTGCAGTGAGCCGAGATTGCGCCACTGCACTCCAGGCTGGGTGACAGAGCAACATTCTATCAGGATGGGGGTGAAGGGAGTGAGGAATTATATGATAAAATTATGTAAATGTGAGCCTTGATGTTAAACTATTTCATGAGAATCCAAGAACTAAGAGACTGAAAACTCATTTTTAGTAAACTGCTCAAGAAAATTGGACACTTTTTTAAACCTATAACACAGAGTTAATGAGATGCCTATTACATTGCAATAGTAGGCACAATACATACTTCCTACAGATTAGTTCAAAGTGGTTAAATTTGATTGTCTCAAAATTTAGCATGAAACTGCCACAAAGGAATCCATTTTATTTTTAAAGCAGAACAAGTAAAACTCTCATTCTAACATGCTAATACTGTTCTTAAACCTTTTTCATGACTGTAATATAGCTAATATTTCTAAACTTCATGAGAGTCTAGTCTAGTTAGAGAAGTAAAGGAACTGACAGCAAAGACTTGAAAAGAATGAAAGCACAAAAGCAAGGATGAGAGAATGAAGACAATGGTAGCCTGTCAGAAAAAGAAGGAAAAGGGAGGTGTGCCTGGGACACAGATAGGTCTGGTCCTGGGGACTGAGACTCCCAGGGGAGAAAACAGACCAGATCAAGCATCCCGCTTAACAGCAACAGATCGGCTAAGAAACATCACCAAAGGGGCTCAGCAACTTCTATGAGGGGTCAGTTCACACTCTGTATGTGAGGCTACTAAAGACTGAACTTGAGGTCCTAAATTTTGAATATATATATATATATATTTGAGACAGAGTCTCACTCTGTCACCAAGCTGGAGTGCAATGGCGCAATCTCGGCTCACTGCAACCTCTGATTTCCTGGTTCAAGCGATTGCCTTACCTTAGCCTCCCAAGTGGCTGGGAGTATAGGCACGCACCACCATGCCCAGCTAATTTTTGTATTTTTAGTAGAGACGGGGTTTTACCATGTTGGCCAGGATGGTCTCAATCTCCTGACCTTGTGATGCGCCTGCCTTGGAGTCCCAAAGTGCTGGGATTACAGGCATAAGCCACCGCACCTGGCCAATTTTGAATATTTAGTAATGAATTAAGTTTATAATGTAGTGAGGAGGATACTGTCCTTTCAGTTTAAGTTGGAAACTGTTTTGGTGAGACAGTACTGTGCTAACTCCAAGCTTTTGCTAGTAAGTTCCAGCATACCCTCTCCTATCTGACACATCTCCTTGGCTTATGCTCAGAATCTCTGAATTCTAACAATTTATAACAAATTCTTTACATCTATTATACTAACAAGTTCATTCAAAGCAATTTCTTTCCTCTGGGAGAATCTGGACAGGGTTCATGTGCTTAACCAATCAACTTAACATTTGCCCTACAACTCTAAAATTATAGTTACAAATAATGTTAACATTATAGATAGAAGCTTAGATTTACTATATAAGAAGAAGTCATTCTCAGGAAAATATTTCTAAGAATGCCTTAAGATATTAAGTTATATTTTGGTTATAAAAACAAGACTTTAGGAGCAACTCTACTATTTTCTTAATTTATATTTAATATCAGAAATATAAAAATATAAAAATTTCATAATTTCTGACATTAAATTTATATTTAATTTAATATCAGAAATTATGAAAATCATAATTTGCCTTTATAAGGCAAGATCAAAGGAGGAAAATATGACGGTTCATAAGAAAACAAGTTCTTATTCCAAATACAAAGCAAATTAGGAATTAAAAACAGGAAAACTTTTTAGATGCTTTAATTCGTAACATTAATCTAATCTGTATTCTATATATGTGTATGTGTACACAAAATCAGATTTATAAAGCCTGGAACAGCTGGGCATGTTAACTAGCATTTTCATATATTTGCAGTACAATAAATCATGGCAAAAACTAATACATTACACTTCTCATCCATCTACAATTTTCCTTGTGTTTCGATTCATGTATATCCTAGCAGAAGCAGATTCTATCAAAAGCTATTAACTGACAAGCAGTTCAAGAAAAGAGATCAAGTTTCTGGAAACAAGACCATCAGAATGTCAATTTCATCAGAACTATGAAAGCTTAATAACTAACCATTTGGTTTGCAAACGGGGTCACTGCACTGTGTAGTGGCTGTCTCTAAATGCTGTAGACCAGTTTGGAACCTTTTACAGACTTTTACTGAACAAATGACTAATTATTATAATTTGGTTTCTTTTTAATAGTCCATTAAATATTTCCAATACTCTAAGAAATGTTAAATTCATATTAGAAGTGTAGTTCCTCCCTTCCCCTGGCCCTGGCCAGGTGATTCCCTTCTAATCTGAACGTGCCTTATTTACTTACTTATAATCCTCATTTCTATGAAGCCTTGCAAAGGATCATGTGGGATTGTGGCTACAGCTTGTGTGGGTCTGTAGATGGGTAATACTTCAGGTAAGTATTAAACACAGGTTAAGAAACTTAGACAACATAGAACAAAAAGCGGGCTACTCTTCTAACTGAAAATTTAAAGTAAGAATACTGGTTGGGAAACAAAGTTCAGATTTAAGCTTGCCACCATAAAAGAAGTAAGATATTTCTAGGTATTAGATTATAAATATAAATATTTGAGAATGACAATTTTATTTATCAAATTCAGAGATCTAAATTGAAGTTTTAAATGCAAATTAACCACCCTATTTTCCTAGAGCCTCCTGACACACTAGAGGTAACAAAGGAAAGTACTGAGCCACATAATTTTAAATATAGAGCTGGCATTCCTAAACTGGGATATTATTTCCAAGAAGTATGGAGGCTATCACTGCTATTCAACCAACTATTTGTATACATTTCTTGTCAGTCACAGGTCAATTTATTTTGTTTTCTGTTCTAGATTTTTATATATAATGTTCTTGCCTGGCCTGACAAAGAATCATAATACTATGAGTGAGTATTGTCACTATTTTTTAGGGTTATTGAATAGTTTCTTTATCGTTATATCAAACCTTCCTTCCCATATAAAGTACTTTCATATTAACTGTATAATAAAGAGACAGAAATAAAATAGAGAAGCAAAACTTAAAGTTTAAAGGTAAAACTTTAAGCTTAAAAAGAAAAACATAAAGGTAAAACTTTTAGTTTAGAGAACTTGTCATATCCTAAGAGATCTTAATTATAGCTGCCAGTAGCAGCAAAGTTTTCAAGCATTGCCTTGTACTTCCTCCATTTTTCAGAGATTAAAATAAAAAATAAATGCCTTAAATGTAGCAAGAAATGAGAAACAAAAGGCAGAGATAATCTACATATCAATTGGTCCTTGAATACTTACTAGGCTATAAAATAAACACTTAAAAAACATATTATTTGCTTGAATTCAATAAATACAACAGTAGCCTCTATATTTCATAAAAATTCTTTAAAATGATAAAACACATCAGGCTGGAGGTAGTGGTTCACACCTATAATCCCAGCACTTTGGGAAGCCAAGGTGGGTGGATCATTTGAGGTCAGGAGTTTGAGACCAGCCTGGCCAACATGGTGAAACCCTACCTCTACTTAAAAAAACAAAACAAAAAAGAAACGTAGCCAGCTTGGTGGTCGGTGCCTATAGTCCCAGCTACTCAGGAGGCTGAGGTAGGAGAATCAGTTGAACCTGGGAGGCCGGGATTGCAGTGAGCTGAGGTCTCACCACTGCACTCCAGCCTGGGCAACAGTCTTGAGACTGCACTCAGTCTCAAAACACAAACACAAACAAACAAACACACATCAAAGGCCCATTAATTTAAACTGCTGAAGATACTTTATCTTTAAATGCCACTGCTTCAAAAATGACGAGACCATTTTTACATTTAATTAATACATGCTGGCTGTCTTTGATCAGAAACATCTAAAAATGTCTTATGTCATTTTCTACTCAGCTCATTTTTAAAATCCTGCCTTTATATTCTTCTTCACTTCCTACTTACTTCCTCTTTTCTTTTTGGAAAGTGCTTATTAGCATGTCCTTGTCTTTAAAAGAAAACAAAGAAAAAGAAAAAGCAGAGAAGTGAACAGGGAGAAGAATGATTAAGAGCTAAGGTTTTCAAAAATCCCAAGGGACAGGTGGACCATATATAAAATTAACTCTATGGAGACAGAATTTTTTTTTTTAAATCAGGATGTGAACTTTGTAGCATTTTCAAAGCAACACAGTAAACCACAAGAAGACAAGACAGAGGCTCCTTTGCAAAAGGGGAATTTTGACCAACATCTTATATTGCTGAACTTGATTCTCTCTAACAGAACTCAACATACTAACTAAAAGCTGTGTCATTTGGCGTGTCAAAATAAATGACATTGCATAAACAGTTACATATGTAGTACATATTACATGATATGTAAGTATACAAATAAAATAGTATTTACATAAATTGTCACTACACTGAAATAAATAGTATGTATATAAAATATATACTTAATCAGCAAATGACAAGGTTAACCAAATAGAGTGTCACAAAAAATGCTTTTCTAGACACATGTACCAGATTTTTAAAATGTAATTTTCTCTCAACAAAATAACTGGAAAAAAGGAATGGCAAAAAATGATTTTCCCTCTATTAAGCGCACGAAAACTGAAAAGCCTGCTGCCACTTCCCTCTAAGTACTCCACTGAATCATGCATATCAGCTAAAAACGATAATGAATGGAAATTTGGGTTAATAAAATTAATCTCAAACAAGCAAGCTAAGTGATTGACTTACAGGATCAGCTGGTGCAATGTTAGAATCAAATTGGGTCAGAGTTTGTGAGCTTGAAGAGCGTTCACTAAATGTCTCCCACTGCTGAACAGACAGAGGAGAGACAAGTCAGCATGATGAGAAAGATGGAGTAAAAGATCACTGGAGAAGATTTAGCAAAGTAATTCAGAGGTTGCACTGCAAGTTGTGTTTCATAGGTTTAACAAAATTCCATAATTTCTATTTTTCCATCAACATTTTATATTTATCTATTCTGAGTCATCTCGTAATGTAAGGTGAGGAGCTTCACAATCAAAAGTATAGTCATAATTTATTGCAATCTCTATGGAAGAGATTTAAAGCTTTACAGGATTAAAATAAAACACAGGAACAAAGTCTAAGTGATATAAACGTCTACCAAGTAAAAATGTTAAAGAGGCATCAGATCCTTCTTTGAACATTCAAATGTTAATGTACTGATTTTATGATCCTAATGAATCAAAGTTTTGGTCAAAACAAAGCAAGTCAGTGTGACTTGCCAGTGCGACCCCTGAAAGATGATTCTATTATGTACGTGCATATATTTTACACGTATGTATATTTAATAAAATATAATTGAGATAAAATGCAAAGAATTCTGGAATTAATATATGTTGAGCTTATGTCAATCTGTAGCAAGTCAACCCCGGCAATCAGCACTACAAACAGGGCCATGCCAGACCACAAGACAGAACTGCCAATCAGGCACCCCCACTTCCCCACTCCCCACCCCATGCTAGAAAAATCAGAATGCGGCCACAATGAGAGCAAATCAAGCATCTGAGCATGAGTTATATACAGAAGATGTATTTTGATATGAAATACGAACTCTTTTAACAGAGGTACACAAAAAAAAATATCATACCTCTTAAAACAGGTGGAGTGATAAGTCAACATTAATTATAGTAAATTCCATTTGTTTTAGAGATCTTAGTAATAAAATGGTATAGAATTTTTACATGAAAATTGTATTAAAATTATCATTTAAATCTGATTCTTAAGAATTATCAGTTATCTTCTGAAGAGGAAAAAACATCTACACACATACAATGTATACACACGAATATTCACACAAAGACAAAACTACCCCATAAACCAAAATCCTCTTTGGGAAAGTATACATTTTTATGCTTCAAAGTTCAACTTACTATTTAAAATAGTGGCATTTAAGTTTAGAAGATACATAAAAATGAAATATTAGCAAATGAGCACACTGGTGAAAATTACCTACATAAATGTCTAACACAGTAATTCAACAATTTTTCCTACAGATCAGTTTTCATATGAAAATTAAGATATTCTGAGAAATATTATTGCATTCAAAGTATTTCATGAATTAAAAATCCCATAATAATTACTTTTACCATGCGGCATCACTTCAGCAAAGTGACTTATCAGTATCTGTTAATATAATTAGTTTTTTCCTCAATAATTATTGTTACAGGGACACAGAAGCAAAATTTAAAATCCTAATTATCTAACTGTGAAGAAAAGTTTAGATACAGAAGATTCTTGCCAAAAAGAAGGTATTTACTTGTTTACCTCATTTGGGCGCCATGAAGTTTTAGTTTCACAAGACTGCATGTAAGCTACCTGGAGGGCAAAGGGACACTCTCTATCATCTTCATGACTTAATTTTTAAGGGCTCACAGCTGTGGAACCAGACTACTGGAATCCCAGTTACGCTGTGCAAACTTGGGCAAGTTACATAACTTCTCTGTGCTTCAGTTTCTCCAGCTATATCACAATTATCTACTGCATAGGATTGTTCAGAGGACTAAAAGAGTTAATATAATATACATAGTTTGTCTTTTTTCTAAAAAACAGAACTGACATATCAAAAGTGCTCCATAAAGGTTAGAGATTATCAGTGTCATCTCCTGTACTGTCTCATCCATAACCACAAGTGCAGAATAAATCTATGTTGAAAGATTACTAGTGCTTTGTGGAAAACAATTAAAATGTAACCTAAATTCAATATCCTAACTAGATATTTTAAGAAATATCATAAAAAGCATTTTGATTTTTCAGCACTTTGGGAGGCCGAGGCGGGTGGATCACGAGGTCAAGAGATCGAGACCATCCTGGTCAACATGGTGAAACCCCGTCTCTACTAAAACTACAAAAAATTAGCTGGGCATGGTGGC